GCTTTTATCTTATCCTGCGGATTTTTATTTGTTTTGTTTATTTATTTATTTGTCTTTTTAACTTATTTATTTTTAAATATTTTTTCTTATTTATTTATTTATTGCTTGAAACTTTATCTCAATTCGAAACTTTATTTACTTAGAAATGAGTAATGTATTCTCCTAAGCAATTATTTTATGTTGTGATGTAAATAATTTACAATTTTTTTTTTCGTGTTCAAAATTTGAAAATATGCTCATAAAGTTTTATCATAAAATTTTGTATTTTATGATGTCGCCATCTGTAGGTTAGTTTTGATACTATAAAAAGGATTTCTCAAAAAAGCTTTCGCTCTAATATATTTTCATCAAAACATGGTAGGTAGCCTTATAAAAAAAAATAATAACTCAATTTTAAAATTGAGTTATCATTAAATAGCAATACACACTATATAGCAAAATTTTAAATTAATAAAATTTTTTCTAAATAAAAACAATGAATGTTTTTAGATAGAATTTCTTATGTTTTTGTGTGAAGATGTGTTTTCAAAAAAACAAATACACTTGCCATCAAACATCCATATTTCTACGACAATTAAAGTACTAATTTTATTTTGTTAAAAATTAGAATGAAGTCTTTCCCTTAATTTACATCCACTAAATATTTGTTTCTGTCTTTTTGTCATTTCTCATTTGTGAGTAATTTGATTTCATGAAAATAGAATAAAGACCTTTTTCTCTATGTCTTTAATATATATATTACGTATTAATTTGTTTATTTTGTATTTTGACATTCTTCTTGAGTTTTTAAGTGGGGGTGTGTTTTCAAAGAAATAAATATATTAATAATTTATACAACAATTAAAAGTGCTAATTTGATTTCGTTAAAAATTGGAATTAAGTCATTCACTTAACTTCTATCCGCTGAATATTTTTTTGTACTTTTGTTACATTCTTATTTGTGCGTAATTAGATTTTATGGAAATAGAATACGTCATTTTTGCTTTTGTTTTTAAAATATAAATATTCATTTGTTTATTTTGTATTTTTGCGACAATTCTTGTGTTTTTACGTGGGACTATGGTTCTTAAGAAACAAATTCACGTGCCATCAAGCATCTACATTTCTGTGACAACAATTAAAGTACTAATTTGATTTTGTTGAAAATTGTTTTTAAGTTATTCCCTTACCTTATATCATCCAATTATTTGTTACGCTATTTTTGTTGCTTTCTCATTTCTCGTAATTTAATTTTACGGAAATGGAAGAAAAACATTTTTAATGACTTTAAAGTATTTTATGTATTTATTTGTTTACTTTGTATTTTGACCTTTTTCTTGTGTCTTTATGCGGGGGTGGTTTTTCAAGAAAACAAATGCACTTGCCATCAAATATCTACATTTCTATGACAATAGTTAAAAGCACTAATTTGATTTTGTTAAAAATTTGGAATTAAATATTTTTCGTCCACCTATTCTTCAAGCGTTAAAGAAGTTGAAAATAGTTCAAAATAACATCATAGAACTCAATCTCATTTTCATTTCATTTGAACGAGCTTCACATTTCTAATGAATAAAAAACATTCAACAAGCAACAGGTGTAAAATAGATATGCCTACTGAATAAGATAGCAGTCTAAAGACACTTTTAAGAAAGTTGTTGTATGTTTTGAATAATCATTTTCTGTAATAATTTACAAAAAACATAATATATATCCTGTTCTTCAGAAAATTAGATTTATAACAATTTACACGTGAACTTCTGACCTGTTTAAAAATTGGACCAAATTTTGACAATTATCGTTTAAAAAGTTATCGAGATCGTAACATTAAAACAAAAGAATCGTGGCTATAACGTAAATCGAAAAGGGAAAAAAATCAATACTGAAAACGAATTAAATGTGTCGTATTTGAGTTTGTAAGTCAAAACTGGATAAGCAAGTGATAACAAATTGTTTAAAAACAAAGAAGGGGAAAGTTCACTGGCTCAGTTCAAAATTATCTTTTATCTTGTTTATCGAGTATGCTAATTAGAAGACCCATTTTCAAATGGATGTTAAAGAAATAATTTTTTTTTTATACCCAGGCTTCACACACGAAGAAATAAATACATCTTGATAGTTTAAATTTGTCCTAATATATTTTATTTTCTGAAATGGCAACTGTTTAAAAGAAGAGTTAATAGGAAAATGTCTGCGCCATCACCTTTTAAAAATAGAAAATAAAGAATAAAATGTAATGTTAATAGTAAGTAAAACATGTTTGTAATTTTTTTCCCATAAAAAAATCTACTTCGACTTTCGTTAAAAGAATACTTACAAGCAATTTAAATCAAATATAGAAACTGAAATCAGATTTTTTTTATCTTGAAAAACCTTAAATATACGTGTAAAAAATTCAATTACGGCAAAAGCTACAGGCATTCTGAGTGCCGGTAAAATAAAGCTCATATTTACCGGAAAAGGTTACGGGAAATAAATTCTGATATACCGTAATGTTTACAGTACTAATTACCGTAAAATCTCTGAATCACTCTCATTAAATAAATATTACTGTAAACATCACTGTATAGTATTCAATGTTAAAAAATGGATATTACGGATGATGAACCCAAACTCCCCAAGTGCATGCAATTTATATCGTAATTTGTTCAGGATATTTTACATTGTAAGCTTAAGTAACGATAAATAAAAAAAATTAAACTTTTTTTTAAAATTTTATTTTGATGTATTAGTTTTACATTTTCTTTCTTCGTTTTATTTAATTTTTTTTAATATTATTATGATTTTTTTTTTAATTTCGTAATTTCTATAGTCACATTATATTTTTCAGCATAAATAAAATAAAAAACATTGCTTCACCCACAATAAATTTTTTTCATAAATCCATGAATATTATCTGTTAATTTTTGTTCTTTGAAATTAAAAAGACTGCAGTAATTCGTACATTTGAAGTGGCCTTTGACGTTGGTGCTTTTTTTTTAATTACAAAATATGTAACGTAAAGAAATTTTAAAAAATAAATATTTTTAATCCTATTTTTCATACTTTCCACACTCACATTTGGTGATATATTACAAAGTGTATAACATTTCAAATTTATGATATTATCATGCACATAAATACCTGCAAACATGAAGCATAATATCCTCCCTAAACTATTAAGTACGCTATTCCCCCATTATGCTATTAAGTATAGCATTCCCCCATTATGCTACACTGTTAGAATTTTCATTCTAAAATTACGATAAAATAGCTGGCAGCAATCTATCCATCGAACTAACCATGAAGTTTACGGAAAAGAACATATTTTACCTTTACGGTTTTGAAACCGTTTAGTATGTTTGAAAAACTATGAATAGAAAACTATACGGTTTTTTTAACCATTTACAACTAGCATGATTTAGAAATCATAAAAAAGAAATCTAACTGGACATTGGAGCAAGTCTTTTAGTTAGGTTGTAGGCATTAGAGTTAGGTTGTGAAGAATTGTGTTTTATTAAATGAGCCGTTGAATATGGTTTAACTAGTTTATCTGGTTGTTTCACCCATCGTAAGATGTGGTAAATGCTAGACTTTTTGTGTAAAGCAGTTATATGTTGGTGCCATCTACTCGTGAATGAGAGTATTGTATTCTAATAGTCCTGGGTCGCAAATTGGGGAGTACAGGAGGCTGAAAACTTTTATTGTGTTGAAAGAAATGAAGAAAGTATTGTAATGCCAATGCTGGAAATCGAACCCCCTCTCTGCCGCTCATGAGAATAGTAAGATCGATCATGAGTCGATCATGATAACCTTTTGGCTATAATATGTACCCAGCTGCAGGGAACTAAGTGGCATCATTAGGTAGAGTTAGTTGGTACCATAAAATTCTGGTTATTTAACCGTATTAGGTAGTTAGGAAAAGGCTTTTCTCACAGTTAACAGTTTGAATACCATCTTATTTATGGTTATTTAACTGTTTTCTTTGAATATGCTAAAATAACCAATTAAGTAAATTGCTATTTAATCATTTTTTCCGAGAAATTTCTAAGGCATGAGCATTGTATTTCCTTATTCTACCATAAGTATGGTATCCTTCCAAAAAGCAATCAAGTATAGTATTTTCAAGTTGTGTATATTTATATAGTATTCGTGCAAATATGTAAAAGTTTGGATAAGGGTTGCTGTGCATAAATTTGACAGCAAATACGATGGTTTAAACCTTTGCTATAATTACCCATTGAACTAATGGTCAACAGGCCGGGATAATCTGGTCGGTAGAGCGCTGTGCCCATGTCCGAGAGCTCGGGGATTCGAACCCCGCCGGCAGAAGACTCCCCGTGTAGTAAATAGTGCATTAAATCTGTCGAGTCGCAAAGTCCTCCATGTTCCCGTAACAAATCAAAACCTCTGGGGGTACTGGATTGGAGATTGATCGTTCTCTGATTCAGGTCAAAATTAAGATCTGTGGATGAATGAAAGGTTGTATGAATGGGTCCTCTCTTTAAACGAGTGTGACGTATGGGTGTGGCAGAAGTCGAATTCTTGGCCACAGGTGGCGCCACTGAAAATCAAGAACAATCGCACCCCTCTGCCTTATCAGGCATACGTCAACAACAACAACTGAAGGTCAAGGCCTAGGCTTTTGCCAGAAAAAAACCTTTGTTGTGATGCGATGCAAGTACACATTTAAAGCTGAATTTAAAAAAAAGAAGCCTTCTTATCTGCCATTAAAACACTTTCAAAAGCTGATAATTTTAAAGGTAAATCTTTTTATATGTTTAACAGTTATTTTTATATATATTTCGTCATAATTTCAAGACCCAAAGTGAGTCATACTTACATTTTTATACTTTGAATTTAAGCGAGCAAAGAATACTATCTGTTTTTGAGTCATTTGGATATAAAATTAAAACTCAACTCATACATTTGTTTAACTCATACATCTGTTTTAACCACACATATTTTGGAACACATTAAACATATCTACATCAACTCTACATATCTACATGAAAATCAACTAAATTAGCTTCACAACATACTTTGACGTTCTGCTCCTCCGACATATGACGATACAAAGCACAAAATGACTTCTGTAAGCTCAAGTGTTCTTTGTACAGTTGCTGATGCATTTTCAAAGTAACCTAGAAAGTAAAATAAATTATTAAAACTACTCTTCTTGCTTTAAATTTTAATTAAAGTTGAAAAAGTTTTGGAGCAATGTTTTAATTTTATTTGACAATTACTTTCTTTTATAACCGTTGTTGAACAGCCGAATTTTCAGTTTACGACTATCAATGTTCAACTCCATATCCTTGCAATTTTGAAACCATTTCAAACCTGTCCGAAAAGACAGAAGAACGCTTGAATCAATCACAGAAGCAAATTAGCCTTTGTGGACTACTTTTTGATGAAATTAACTTGCATTTACATTACATGGAGAAGAAAAACATGAAAACCTCACACGGTTAGCCCAACAGCAAGGGGATTCTAACTTATGAGCTTCTACCCCCCATGATATCTTACGTCAGCACTGTGGTCGATGTGAACTGGGAGTGGAATTCATATCAACCAGTCGATGGGATTCGAACCTGGGTAACCTCATCAAGGGGTTATCCCTTAAGCAACCTCAGCTCAGGCATTTTGATTTTATTTTATAACCGTTGTTAAACAGCGTGCCAATTTTTGGGTTTACGACTACTAACGTTCAGCTACGTAGCCTTTTAATTTTGAACCCAATCCAGAAGACAAGGTAACTCCTGGATCAAGCATCGGGGGAAATTTGCCTTCGTGGAGAACTTCTTGAAGGAACTAACACGCATTTGCGTTATATGAAGAGGAAAACCACGAAAACCCCCATGATTAGCCTGATGGCAAGAGGACTCTAATCCATGATCCGTCTACCACTGAGGATATTTTACGTCAGGACTGTGGTCGATGCGAGCCTGGTGTGAAATTAGAATCAACCAGCCATTGTCGGGATTCGAGCTCGGTTAACCTCATTGGGAGGTGAGCGCTCTATCCCCTGATCCGTCACGGCTCCGACAATTACTTTAAAAAAATTATATACATTGTTGATGAAAACATGTGAAGTGATTTTGTAATAATAAAAAAAGCTTTTTTAAATTTGCCATCAAAATCCTTAAACTCAAGATCTTCCTTAGCTTTAAGGATCATTATTTCAATTTAAAAAAATGTTTGTTACTTTCTTTCACGAGCAAAAGTTATGGAGACAAAAAAAAATTAAGAATTAAGATCAATCCTTTGACAATAATTATGAACTTTTTTAAAAAATTTCACTTGTTTAAAATTTTTAACGAAACTAGAGCGTGACAAACGTTATGTGACATATTATATATGATATATTATGTCACGATTATTATGAGATATATTATTATGTGATATATTGTTATTATTAGACATCCACATTTTTATACTGATTTTACACTTAATTAACCAACTGTAATTATAATTCTTATCATGGCATATAGATGTTCCAAATATCAACGACGGTGTGAAAAATGGAAGGATATAAAAATAAAAGTTTGGCTGAGTTTCGCTTAGGAAACTAGATAATTAGACACAAAAAGTTGTAAAATTAATTGCAAAGTTTATCAACATATGACGTTGCTATAAAACGATTTAAAAATCTATAAAAAATATTTTGCAGATAAAAACTGCAAAATGAAAAATACCATAAGATATTTTTCAAAAACTAACTAATATTTGCAGCAGCAAGTGTGGCAGTTTTATGACTTTATTTTTCTAAATAGCAGCGCCACTTGTTAACGGATTTAGTGGCTAAATTTTTTAACTTGGTGAGAATAAATTACCAGGTTTCGTAAATTGAAATAAGGTTAATAACTTTTAAAATACTTAAATTATTTGTCTGTTCTAAAACCCAGATAATTCTTTTTTGGCAGTGTGGTATACGTAACTTAAAATTATGTATAACTGCCCAAGTTTAAAGCACTTAAACTGTGATTTTATTTATTTATTTATTTTGGGGGAAGAGCTTCGAAAACCTCATCATTTTCATTACATTATTAATCACATTATTTACATATTCTATTTACCTTTACATGATTTGACATTTATACCTTAAAATATTTCTTATTTTTTTCGGATAGTTACGTTAATAGTTACAAAAAATTCTAGCATTAACAAGTACTCATAAAAGTATCTTTTTTCCAACATAAAAATCTCAAGATTTTTACTAGGAAGCTCTTAAATATACGCTTTCGTGAAAACTTTCAAAATGGGCCTTATCTTTTATTACTCCAAGGCCTTAACACATATATTTAAGTTATAGTTTTGACGTTTTTCTGGATAAAAAGATTATTGAAAAAAAAGTCTGAAAAAATAAATTTTCTTTGATCGGTTTTTGTTTCAAAACGCTAAATATAAATATAAATATAAATATCAATATATATATAAATATAAATATAAATATAAATATAAATATAAATATAAATATAAATATAAATATATACACTAATGGCCATTAAAATTGCTACACCAGGAATGAATGCAAATAACAGAATGTTATTTATTAAGCCTACATTATAGTTGGAAGAATGAGTGATTAAATTTTTAAGATATTTGGATGTATAGATCCTGAGGAATCAGTTCTCAGAGCAACCTCCCCTGGCAGCAATAACAACAGTTATTCTCCTGGGCATCGAGTCGAACAGAGATTGGATAGCATGGACGGGTACAGTATTCCATGCAGCTTCAACATTATGCCACAATTCATCAACCGTAGTGACTGACGAGTGGTGGCGTGCCAGTGGTTCGGCAATCATTGACCAGACGTTTTCAGTTGGCGAGAGATCAGGAGAACGTGCTGGCCAGGGCAACAGGCGAACATGTTCTGTGTCTCGGAAAGTCAGGACAGAGCGGGCAACATGCAGTCGTGCATTGTCCTGCTGAAACGTAGCGTTCTGGAGGTCTCGAAGATAAGACGGAGCAACTGGCATTTCAACTTCTTACACGAGGCGCAACAAAAACCTTTTTACCCAAGCACAACGCTCAAATTCAATTTCTGTATGAGAAACTTACTGTCAAATCTCTTCTTTTATACACATTGAAGGTGTCGTTACCACAGCCTGCTTTGCATGAACGCGCTGATAAGCTAATCATTTGCATACCACAACATGCCTTATCCGTCCTGCAAATTTCACCTTCGTGGTGTGTCGCCTTCCTGGTCTAGCANATCAACCAGCCATTGTCGGGATTCGAGCTCGGTTAACCTCATTGGGAGGTGAGCGCTCTATCCCCTGATCAGTCACGGCTCCGACAATTACTTTAAAAAAATTATATAAATTGTTGATGAAAACATGTGAAGTGATTTTGTAATAATGAAAATAGCTTTTTCAAATTTGCCATCAAAATCCTTAAACTCTAGATCTACTACTATATTAATCAAAATACTGTAAAAAGTACCGGCTCAGGGTGGCATTAATTCTTACCGTAAAATCCACCGTAAAATTTTACCAAGCACAAAAGGTAATAAACCATAATTTGCATAGTAATACTTGCAACAAAATCATTGTAATGAAATAAATTTTACCGTAAAAATTACGGTATAAAATTTTACGGTAAAATGGACTTTACGAATGCTGCACACAGACTCCCGGTATTTTTTACCATAATTTGAACTGGAATTGTTTCAGAGTAAAGTAGATTTAAAGGTCAAACTATCAAGGAATTTTCCAGACACCGATACATTTCAAACAATAATATTTACCAAAAACAGAACAAAAATATTATATCGGAGCACTGAACTAATGAAAATAAATTATAATACCCGCTTTTAAACAAACAAAAATTAACTCCTTTACAAGCCATCATTATTTTGAGGTTTATCTTGATCATTCATTAAATCTAACAATTGAATAAAATAAAAAGGTAACAGGCGAAGATATTAACTCTATGGTGTTTGTTTTTAATGTAAATTTACTTAAGACAATTAAATATTTACAACCCACTTTTATTTTCCGCTTTACTCTTACAGTTTTTATCTCTCTCATATTGTTTATTGTTTCATATTGATATTTAGGAATATTTATGAAAGATGAATTTTTATTGCAAGTCGTTAATATGAATACATAATGAATATATTTTCATTTTATCGATGAAATTAACAGAATATGCTATATCTAGATTTTAAGGCTTTGATTTCAAATGAATTGTCCCGCAATTTTACTGATATTTTAAAATCAAAATGCTTAGAAGCAATTTTAATTTTTCCCACAGAGCACAAAATGTTTTTTTTTTATGCTTCATAGATATTTTTAATCCCCTAAACACTTAATATAATTTTTTTATACTCTATAAAATTGTTTAATAGCTAAAAAATAAAAAAATTAGCAAACAAACTAAAATAAAAATTAAGGGTGTTTCTCAGTTTTTTTCTGCTAATTTGCGCTTTATCATGAACGGAGCACCAACATTATAGTACAAGGTACCAATACTATGCTTGAAAGTGAAATATAGTAAAAAAGTCTGATGTAAAAGTATCAAATAGACTATAAGCACAAAATTGTTAAGATTCAACTTGTTTTAATTTTGTAATTTTTTGTTTCAGCTTAGTTTTCAAATTGAATAATTTGCTTTTTAATAAATAAATGGCTCAACACTATTTTTAATCATGGCAATTAACACCTTTTAAAGAAGTTTTTGCAATGTTTATGAGATTCTTAACAATTGAAAGAGCAGGTTGCAAAACAAATTATATTTCTAGTTGTTTCTTAAGTAAAATTTCTGAGATGATTTGAACACTACAGATAACAAATTTCTAGAGTTCATGGGGTAATAAAATTCTCGCTAAATTACAGTACTTTACTGCATTGACATATCTGGTTAAAAAAAAATAATAAATAGATAAATAAAAACATAATTCTGGAATTAATAATTAAAATATGATATTTAAACTATTAATTTGATTGTTTTTTCGTTCGTATGGTAACGATTTACCGGAAATTCAGGTTTTCTAAGTTACAGTTCTTATCACCAAAGATTCAGTAAAAATACTAAATTGAAAAGTATATTTAATCGAATAAATTATCCTTATGCCATGCTCTAAGGTATCATGAGAAAATTACTACATTTTCTACCTAGCAATATAGTAATAAAACCATGTATGGTTGATAATTTTACTGAACTTGATTTCCTAAGTGCTTCGGTTAAAATTATATTTGTGGTGTTCCCATAGAGCCAGAAATACAATAAATTGTGATTAGTAAAGCTAATATATTTGATATTTACACCATTTATTTGCTAATTTTTTTGATCAAATTTAAACGGTTAACCAAAAATTCTATTTTTCACAATTATTGTTCTTAAAGCCACACTTTTAATTAAAAATGCAAAATTGAAAAGTAATTTGGACTGAATAAAAGGTTTTTATGCCGTGCTCAAAAATATCGTGAAAAAATCACCAAATTTCATCACATCTATCAAGTTTTATCACATATCACAAAACCATATTTTACTGTTTATTTTATCAAAATCATTACCAAAGTACTTCGGGAAGAATTACCGATCTTTTTGTGTTCTTAAAGAGCCAGAAACAAGGTGAACTTTACCATGTTCTGGTAGTTTTGACCATATTTTTTTCTCAGTGTCCTTTTTGAAATTAAGATTTTTTCAAGAAGAAATTAATGACAACACATAAAAATAAAAAGGAATTAAGCTATAAAATATAATAACGGATTTTCATTGCATGGTTAACAATGCGTACCGTACAATCATTTAAAATTGATTTAAACTTTCTTAATACTACAGTGCCTTGGGAACAAAATGAAAAAAAGCGATCATTGTCAGAGTATCACTTCCCTATTATGAATTTCACAAATAACAATTTTTAAATAAAACAAATTCTAACATTTTCGTAACATAAATTATAAATATTACTTGTCAACGTTCAAATTTTCAAACTAAATTGTTATATTTTTTATACTCAAACCTGTAAATTCTATTTCTATTAGATTGAGTACTTTAAATAGAAAATGATAGAAAAGAATGAGACTTATAATCATAAGCATAGTATATGCTTGAATGTAACAAAGTGTTTAGCAACAAAAAATAAAAAGAAATCTGAAGATCAAAGTTGACATTTATGCTGCTGATAAAAACAAACTGAAGGAGGTTTCGCATAAAATCAAAAAAATTATTTATATTTAAAAAAAATTTAAGTCTGCCAACGAAATAAATCATTTACATTTTATAACTTGATTTCTAGTATAAATTTTTGTTTTAAATTTGCACATATTTCATTAACTAATAAAAACTGTTTTAGTACTTCACATTTAGTGCAATTGTTAGAGCAGTTTTCTTTCATAGAATGGTGTTAAGATCTGTTCACACGAAGAAAATATTCTGGTAAAACTATCGTACTGTATGGTGATGGTAAAAAATGTGGTACTCTATGGTGATGGATTTTTGGAAAAAAAATGCAATTCTGGTAATAAAACCAAAATATTCGGAAATTAAACCATTCATTTAGCACTTTTTCCATTCATATGGTAACGGTTAACCGGAAATTCACTGAATAAATGGTTTTTATGTCATGCTCTAAGATGTCATGATAAAATAACCAAATTTTACCACATATATCAAACTTCATCCCATTGTATCAAACCATATTTTATTGTTAATTTTACCAAAGTCCTTGGGTAAAAAATATTTAACTTTTTGGTTTTCCAATATTCCTGAAACACTGTAAATTTTACCATATTCTGGTTATTTTGTCCATAGAATTCAAACATTCATAATAACAAAAAATGAACGAATTTTTCAGATTTCAATTATTTTACTTTTGCCTCCATTAAATCAAAATCATAAAACAAATCATAAAACAATAATAGGAGAAAAAGAACAGAATCATGTAATGTTCGCAACAAAACTAACTTCTAATTGAAAGTTTATAAACTATGAACACTCAAATGAAAAAAAAAATGTTCAATCTGATAATTAATGTTCATATAATGCAAAATCGAAATTAAAATTTAAGTTCAGAACTATCGCTTAAAATGTTCAATCGTTGAAAAGTAGTGGTTCTGTAAAATATTTAACAAAAATAAATCACTAAGAAATATTAATCAATAAAATTTAAATTAATAAAGGATTAATCAATAAAAAGTAATAAAAAAATAACTATTCAAGTTAATTTTTGATCGAATAATGAAAAAATTAACCGAACTACTGAAATTCAAAAAACTTTCAATAAATAAAATTTAATAAATAACAAAGTTCAATGAATAATTTAATCACTAAAGTTTGAAAAACAGTTTAAACTTTAAATTCTATCAAAACTTAACTTTCAATAAATAAAATTTAATAACGAAGTTCAATAAATAATTTAATCACTAAAGTTTAAAAAACAGTTTAAACTTTAAATTTCTATTAAAACTTAACTTTCAATAAATAAAATTTAATAAATAACAAAGTTCAATAAATAATTTAATCGTTAAAGTTTAAAAAACAGTTTAAACTTTAAATTTCTATTAAAACTTAACTTTCCATAAATAAAATTTAATAAATAATAAAGTTCAAGAAATAATTTAATCACTAAAGTTTAAAAAACAGTTTAAACTTTAAATTTCTATTAAAAATTAACTTTCAATAAATAAAATTTAATAAATAACAAATTTCAATAAATAATTTAATCACTAAAGTTTAAAAAACAGTTTTAACTTAAAATTTCAATTAAAACTTAACTTACTAAACACTTTTGTCCCATCATCTCTGCTATTGTCAATTCAACTGCAAATTTTCCTATTCTGATTTTAACATTTTATGTATATTCCAGATAATCTTGAATGCGTTGAACCAAAGACAGTCTCTTTTCCAAATGCGATGTTAACCCTTTCACGCCAGCCATGAAATCTACATGATCAGACACCTGTCAAAAACATACAACCACATGTTTAATAAAAATGCTATTAATAACATACATTTGTTTAATACATAAAAAATCAAGTTTTTTCATTAACGAAGCTTAATCTTACATCGCTGATCAGAAACCTCCCACTCAAGTAATTAGCGGGTAAATACCCAACGAACCAAAACGGTCAATAGAGCAAACTTCAATAGAATTATGAACATGTCTATGAGCAACTCATCTTCTTTATTACAGCAACAATGAACGATATCACACTATAAATAAAACGCGTGAAAAAAATTGCGCCAAGTAAAGTTCGGGTCAGGTCAAAAATGGTGGTGAAAGAACTTTATAGTATAAGAACGTGCTTTTTGTTCTAACTTTGCAAAAGAAATTGCAATCGAAATAAATACATTGAATAAGAATCTAATTCATAAAACAAAGAAGCTACCGATAAAGATTTGTATCTAATGTTTTCGGTAACGATACGAGTTTTGGTTCCTTGGCTACGTTATTTTTTCAAATATCCTCTTTTGTGATCAATTGGCTCTGAAGATAGTTTCGCCAGATATGGCGGATAAGTGTCCATGTTTCATGCTTCAGTTGGCGTTGTTATTTTGCCAGAAAGTGACAAGAACAAAACGGATCCTTGTTAAAGTAACAATTGTGTTTGCATATTTTTGAGCATTGGCTCAATTTGTAACCGTTTTACTAAGATTGTCTAAACCATATAATGACTGTAAATTGCAGGCTTATCTGTGGACATGATTTGTCGAAATCACTTTGACAATTTGAAAAAGTTATATTTAATCTGATACTATGTTTCGTATTTTTAATTTTACTACAGCAGTGCTTGCATATTTTCAAACAGTTGTTCAATTTGTAACATGCAATCAATTGTGGTTTAATTATTTTCTGATTTTTTTTTAATATGCAACAACTGTGATTTGCTAAGCCGAGAACTCATCGTCGATTTTAACAATTTGAGAAAGTTGCATATGATCTGATATTATGTTTTCGATAACAAATTGTGTTGCTATTGTCTTTCCATATTTTTTGAACATTCATTTAATTCGTGATATGTAAACAATTGTGTCAGTATATTTTTGAAAATGTGTTAATTTGAAACTATCAGCTTACTCCGCGATTGTCTAAGACGAAATAGAAGCTGCAAATTACGAACACAAGCAAAAATTAAGATAACAGAAGATATTTTTATTTTGTTGAAACGTCTTTTTATAAATTTTTTTGTTAATAGGATTTTGTTAATATTTTTAAACAGTTATTCACTTTGTAATATGCAAGCAATTGAGGATTAATTTTTTATGATGTAACCACCACGATTGTCTACGCCGAAGTCTCGTCTCGACTAGTAGATTTTAGCAATTTGAGAAAGTTATATTTGATATAAAATTTTCTCTTAGTCAATTATGCTACACTTATTTGCTTTTTTCATTCTTCAAAGAATGTGTTCAATTTTTTTCTTGTTTTACTTTGGCAATTTAGTATGAAAATAGCTGCGAATTCTAGATTCATATGAAAGCATTTTTAAAAACACAATTTTTAAATCTCACTTGTTCATAATATTTAGTATTTTAAAAAAAATTCTGATCTAATTTTGTGCTCGTAAAATAAATTACGAAACTTTCGAATTTTTCATAAATTTATTTTGTATTTAATCTGTATTGAGAAAAAAAAGCTAAAATAGCTGCAAATTACGTGCATAACATGGAATTGTCTTATAAAATATTCTCGCGCAGTTATTTGTTATTTAATTAAACAAGAATAAACGAAAAATTAAAAATAACTGGAATTTATAAAACCGATAGATTTCATGAAATAAGTATAAATAATTATATATCCGAAGAATTTATTGGATTTAATTGTGTTCGTAAAATAAATTTTCTCAATTTTCATAAGTTTATTTTGTCTTCAATCTGTATTGCACTGCAATATTTTTTGAGTGAAAAATAGCTGCAAATTACATGCATAGCAGGCAATTGTCATATAAAACACTCTCGCGCAGCTATTTGTTATTTAATAAAACAAGACTAAACTTAAAATTTAAAATAACCGGAATTTATAAAACCGATAGATTTCATAAAATAAGTATAAACAATTATATATCTGAACAATTTATTGGATTTAATTATGTACTTCCTGAAAATTCCAAGAAAATTGAATTTCAATTGAGGAAATTCTGAGGTATGAAAGCAAATTTGAGGAAACAATCTTGTGACCGACCAGAAACCAGAAATATTATTTAAATTATGTTCGATCTAAATAGCATTTTTTTTTAGATTGGATTGTAAATAAACAACAACATTCAAATATCATGACGAAAATTTGGTTGAAAGAATAAAACGTTAACTTTATAATGAGCAGGAATAAAGCTAAACAAAGTGAAAATAAACACAAAAGTATTACATAAACAAATAAATTATAGTTTTTTCTCTGAAGTGAAAAATCTTTATCCTTGTCGAAACATAGTCTAATTGCGAAAAAAACTATGGTCAAAACTACCAGAATATGGTAAAATTTACCGTGTTTCTGGCTATATGGGAATACCAAAAATATCGGTAATTTTTAACATATGATTGAGAAATATCGGTAATTTTTTAACATATCATTCCGCTAACAATAACATATGGTTTTATAGTATGTGATAAAATTTGGTAAATGTGGTAAAATTTGGTAATTTCATCATGATACCTTAAAGCGTGACATAAAAATCATTCATTCGATTAAATTTATTCTTCAGTTTTGTATTGTTTACTAAATGTGTGGTAATAAGAATTATTATTTTGAAAACCAGAATTGCCGATGAACTGTTACCATATAAAAGAAAACATTACTAAATTAATGGTTTACATTTTAGGTTTCATTAACAGATTTAGGTTTTTTTTACCAGAAACCCACACAAATAAAATATTCTTTATTTTTTATTGCTCTATAATATTATAATTTAAATAAAATATAGTTTTAATATTTTGTCATTGAAAAGGGGCCGATTCAAGAGAAGTTTTAAGAAATGTTTAAATTCCCCTAAATAAAATGTTTTCATTTATATTACAAATCAGTATTTAAAGAAAATTCCAACTCGAATAAAATTAAATAATGATCAACTTTATGTAAATCAAGCATTTTTTTTTAATTTTAAAACAATATTTATTATGGATTTTTCCCTCTAATTCATTTTAATTACCCGAAAACTAATAGTATTTTATGGACAAAAAAAACTTTCCTAGGAAAGATAAGGCTATTACGAACCAATAACATGTTAAAAACATTCATTATAAAATAATCAATAGCATTATATTTCAATAGCATTTCAAAAGACTTTCAGTATTTGGTGTTTATTTGTAATTAAATATTCATGACCTCGGACTGATGCATTGTTTTTCAAAAAAATATATTATTATGATCAATTTTAATGACCTGAAAACTGAATATAGTTCAAGAGAAATATTAAATAATGATTAAATTCACCCAATTCAAATACTTTAATTTATATTATTTTATACAATTCTAGTCACAAATTCTATATTTCAAATAAAAACTCAGCCCTAGAAAAATAAAATAATGTTGAAACTCACCTTAATCAAATATTTTTAAAACAAAATATATTACGGGTTTTTTTTCCTCTAACTTACTTTAATTAACCAAAATCTTTTGGCATTTTATCAACAAAATATAGTTTTTAATTTAAAAAAAAACCATGTTAAAAACATTCCTCATACATTAATTAAAATCATTATACTTCAACACTTTCAATATTTAATGTTTATTTGTTATTAAATATTCATGAAAGAAGCATTTTGTTATTAATTGTTCATTAAAAATTCGATATTTTAAAAAAAATCCAACGCAAGAAAAATCAAATAATGATCAAACCCACTTAAATCAAATACTTCTTAAATTTAAAACAAGATGCTTAACAATTTTTTCTATAAATTACTCTAATTATTAAAACCAAAAGCATTTTATCGACGGCAAATAATTTTCTCATAAGAAAAGATTATTACTCTAAGGCTTAATAATTTTCCCCATAAAAGATAAGGCTATTTCGTTATTACGTAGCGATCACATGCTAACATTTTTTTAAATTTCCAATGGCGGAGAAAACAATCAAATACAACAAAGAAGAACAATAAACATCATGCTAACAACATGCTAGCCAATAATAAATAGCATTGTACTTCATAGAACTTTCAATATTTAATGTTTAATTGTTGTTAAATATTCGTGAACGAAGCACTTTGTTACTAATTCTTCGTTAAAAGTTCCATATTCAAAGAAAACTCTAGCACAGAAATGAAGAAATCCAATTAAATTAAATACTTTTTTAAATTTAAAGCAACGGGCATTATATTGCATGCATTATTATATGAATTTAAAACAACACAACATGCAGCATACAATGTTTTTTCTCTATAATTTACTTTAATTATACAAAATGTAAAAGCATTTTATCAACAAAAAAGTAATTTTTAATAACAAAAAAGCTATTACGTAGCGATAACATGTTAAAAACATTCATCATAAAATAATTAGTAGCATTATACTTCAAAGGACTTTCAATATTTAATGTTTATTTGTTATTAAATGTTCGTGAATGATGAAACCCAATTAAATTAAAAACTTTTTCAAATTTAAAGCAACGGGCATTATATTGCATGTATTATTATATGAACTTAAAACAACACAACATGCAGCATACAATGTTTTTTCTCTATAATTTACTTTAATTATACAAAATGTAAAAGCATTTTATCAACAAAAAAGTAATTTTTAATAACAAGAAAGCTATTACGTAGCGATAACATGTTAAAAACATTCATCATAAAATAATTAGTAGCATTATACTTCAAAGGACTTTCAATATTTAATGTTTATTTGTTATTAAATGCTCGTGAGCCTCGAGCTGATATATTGTTTTATTAAAATGTATATCGTGATCAATTTTTATGATCTAAAAAGTGTGTAAAACGTTTTGACCTTCGTTGGCAAGCTTACTCGTT